ATTAATTATTTATCTTCTGTAATCAGTGGCAAATACTGCAATTTCATTGGTTTACAGGAGTGCGATTTGAGCATTAATCGCACCTTTTCTGAGCTGTAATCGCACTCTTGTCTACAGCCAATGAAAATCAGTCTAGTATTTACACTAGCCAATCAGCACTCAGGATACAAACTTTGAATTTTATTTTCTTTATTGCTGTAAAAAATTTCAAAATGGAGGAATTCACAAATTTTGACCTTTTAATTTTTAAATCAGCCCTCGAAAACCGTCAAAATTGAGGTCGGAAAAAAAATGCCGACCTAAACCTGACCTAGCTCGGTACATTTCAGCATTTTTTAAAATCTGTTCCATGTCTTGGAGCACTAGTAGCCTGCACTAGTAATCACGTATTTACGAATCATTAAAAAGTATAAATGTCACGAAGCCTTTTCTTTTAGAGTTTTACCTAAATTATATCATAAATATACCCGTTAATTCTTAAATCTTACACCAAAGTGCATCGAATTCTATAATCGCTGACTTTTTAACAACTATAAGAACCAAAAAGATTCTTACTTTGGCTGAATTAAGGTCGGCAAAACATTGCCGACATGGAAGGTTGATAGGTCGGCATTTTAATACTGAAGGTCGGCATTGCCGAATGCCGATCTCGTTTTCGAGGGTTGTTAAATTATATATTTTCTGACGAAAATGACCTACCTGTTCATCCAGCAGAAGACACCGAACTAGACACAATCCAATTCAGATGATTAATTGAACTAAAGAACTTCACTATTTTGAACACGTTATAAACATACAAACATGGCTTCCCAATTGTGTTTTGAATAATTCAAACAAATGTTGTCATGTGGTTATACCTATGGGTTATACCGGAAATAATGCCCGGAAGTTAATAATATGTTAATTTGATTATATATGATAAATAATAATTCAAAATTGTACTATTTCACTAAGAATTGTCGTGACAAAAATTTAAAAATTATATTGAATTTCAACAAATTGTATTTTTCTGCTTTTCCCCCTTAAACAGTTTGATTACAGAAGATAAATAATTAATAAGTAATAGAACGAATTAAGTCGTACTATTAATGCCATAATCATACTCGTGATTAACAAATCAACCTCCCGCTACGCGGTCGGTTGATTTTGTAATCACTCGTATGATTATGGCATTAATAGCACTCCTATTCGTTCTATTACCATCATTAATTGCACTCTCCAGGAGTGCAATTAATGATTTTCGTGATGGCTGGGACAACAAAAATCCAATATGGCGGCGAAATTTAAATAAGTATTTCTAATAAATGTGGACGAATTTAACTAAATTTTGGCACAAGAATGAGTTTAAAAAACATTGTATGGCAAAAAGAGCCTGTGGAAAATACCTGGAAACAGTTTTAAGAAATAATCTCGGCGGGATGCAGCGAAACGTGACTATGTCTATGTAAGTTTGTAATACAATTTATAAAGATTTTCTTAGTCTAAAATATGTTGTTCGAGTTTGAATCTTGTGTTCTCGTTTAAGTTATGTGCCTTTATGAGTTTATAATCATTTCCCAAGTTTGTTTATACCAAATTGCTTACAAAAGAATTAAAAGTCGTGACAAAATGCAGTTGAATTTTAAAGAAAGCGATTTTGTCATGCATATAATAAATAAATAATCACACGGGCAAGTCGTGCAATTAATGATTAACACTACTCGTGATATTTGAAAAATGCCACTCGTAGTGTTAATCATTAATTGCACTCCTTCCCATGTGATTACTACCTATACTAATTATAGTCTTAGTTTTTAGCTTTGGAACTACGTATATATGACCAGTGGTACCTAAATTACTTTGAATTTGAACTCGAGTAAAAGTAGAAGTAATTAACAAAAAAACGACTTGAGTAAGAGGAAAAAGTACTGGAGGCAAAACGTACTTAAGTAAAAAGTACAAAGCATCCTTAAAAATACTTGAAGTACAAAGTGAAAGTACTATTGTCCGTAGCGTGTGTGTGTGTGTGTGTGTGTGTGTGTGTGTGTGTGTGGGGGGGGGGGGCTTCTCCATTGATGGATTGAGATACAAAAAAAACACAAAACAGCACACGCATTATAAAAATACAATATTTCACGGCATGGTCTACTTTCCAGATCCCGTTGAAGATATAAGAAATCCATAAAATAAATAATGCTTATAAGTAAGCCACAAACGAAAGATCCCAGATGCATGTAGAAGTCCTATTACCTATCCCAAAATTAAAATAATTAGGAATAAATTACGTCCACAAAATGAAAATAACGAAGTAAAACGTTACTTTTTAAAACGACTTCGTTTCAAGTAAAAGTACTCCAGAAAAAGTTTACTTTGTTACATGCTTACTTCACAAAAATAGTACTCATGTACAGTAACGAAGTACATTTACTTCGTTACTTGACACCACTGCATATATCAACCGTTTGATTTTTACAGTGTTCTATTATACTTGTAAGAAATGCAAATATAATAAATGCTCACAACAACTAATCCACCGAATATTTCTTTTAAAATATATATTTCGTAAAATTAATAGTGTTGCGGAGAACGTCGCACTTGTCGCATCGATGCCTAAGGTCCTGTAACAATCTAAACACAATTTACACATATCATTTTTGGAATCCCGTTATTGGAGATCGAACTAACTAATAATCTCTGTGTGGTAATTCCAGCCATGTAGCCTATTTTGTAATTAATTTTATGTAATATAGTGTATTGTGTTCAATGGCAAAATCGTTAAATAAAAAAATATCTCTTCGGAGCGGGGCAGGCGGAGCGGGCTAGGAACAATTTGCTTCTGGCTAGGCGGGAAAAAACCCGCAGGTATACGTATACCGTTTCTCCTTAATTTTGATTAGTCTTATAGTTTTAAGCCTTGGAACTACGTATATCAACCGTTTGATTTTTGCAATGTTCTGGCCCCGTACGCCACCAGCCTTCCCCAACACATCCAAGCAATTGAATCACAAACTTGTTTTGTCGAGTGCCAGAGCAGTATACCAAAGCAAAATGTTCACCATAGCACGATATATATATGTATTGATTTTCAGTGGTATGCTAATTACATTTCATTCCGTTTAGTGAACGTTTGTTTTTAACCTTGTTCACCTCATAATTCAGTGGCGGCGGAACAGTTGTTATTTTAATTTGTGGGACAAGCCGTAGCTATAATCCGGCCATTCACATTTTTCACAAAATGACGAGTAGCTACAGCCTAGTACCAGGCTCTCTCTTTCTATTCGCTGCTTTGACATATTTAAATAAGTCTTAAAAGTTTTATGTCTGGGTGTGCTGTGCGGAACGCTTCAGCGAGAGAGCCTCGCAGATTTCGGTAAAATGGTCCCTGATTTGAAAAAAGTGGTCCCTGACCTGGTTACCAAGCATGCCGCATTCGTAAATAGAAAATGTTATGGAAATTTCCTTTGCGTTTATAATTAAGTAATTAGTTTTGCTCTAATGCTGTCGGAACAATCAAATAGGCTACGTTTCTAAGGCTACTAAATCTGATTCGTGTTTACTAAAATATAAAGCCACATTAAATGCTATCTAGAAGCTTGAAAATTATGCCGAGTCTCCGACTAAAAATGTTTTGACAACACAGACATGTCAGGCAAATATTTCCAATCTCCTCAGCTACTCAAACTTGTCAAGTAGAAAGCGTAGTTGTGTATACCAGTATGGTCTAGTGTTGATCACAACTTGCGAGTATATAAATAACATCAACGTTTATATATTGTATATAATTTTTTTAATTGAGCACATTTTTAGTACAGTTTTAATTTGGTTATGTAGACATCGAACATGATCAACGAAGACTATATTTACAAGGTTATTTGTATATATAAATGTTTCGCCATATTAAAAATACTGAAATCTGCTAGGCGTTCTGAAGAACCTTTAGCGGTGACGCCACACCTAGGTCCCAGTCTTGTACTACATCCACGTTTTTTCTCGCGCTTGCTTCAGAACAACTGGGACTAGGCTGGAGTAGCTTTTTGTGTCAATAATTAATTGCACTCCTTCCCGTGTGATTACCTATACTAAACGAATTCTAACTATTCTAATTGCACATCTATGTGAAAAAATCCAAATGATATATTGAATAAAATCCTTTACGCTTTTTCAAAATTTCTTTTTATTTTGGATACATGTATATAGCTATTTATATAACACCTAAATTATGGTCATTTAATTGGCTGATTGTGATAACGTGATATGGAATAAAAATTACCATTTTGCTGAGCGTGCATTGGAATACATTCCATTACTCGGTAAGGTTTTAGTAAAATTCAATAATTCAAAATCCTATTCGCATTGTAATCGTATGTAGCTCATTTAACCATTATCATTTTGATACCGATGCAATTAAATTCACATACATAAACTCGTGCGTGCATGCATGCGAAAAAAAAATATGGATGGTGTAAACAGTGGCGTAACTACAATGGGCTCGATGGGGAGAGCGCGGGGGCCCCCAACCCCAATGGGCCAAATGGGGGCCTCCAGGCTCAGGCTGTAGAGCGAAAACATTAGCCAGGACCTCTGATATGTTACAATGTCATTTTATGACCATCCGAATTTTGTACAATCTCTCCCCAAAGTCCGGGAAATGGCATTTCAGAGAGTCTACATTCAAAAATTTTCCACGCTAGCATGCCCTGGGCCCCATATAAAACTCGTGCATATACGACGCTCGACTCGTGCCTTTTGCACTTCTACTCGGGTGGCCTTCGAAAATTTTAAACCGGGGGCCCCCTGATATACACGCCACTGGGTGTAAAAATATAATATTTACGATAAATTACAACCATTATCATATTAATTCTTCGCACACATTATCATATTAATTCTTCACCAAAAGTACCAAAATATTTTCTGGCACTTTTTTATTGGATTTCAATATTTTTTTAACAACTGATGCACATGTAACAGAGATATGTATTTAATTCACCTATAAAAATCGATAAAATGCATCTATTGTAAGTATTTTGGTGTCAATAAAAGTAATTACGAATGTCTTCAATCGAGCAATATTAAATTATTTTCATTCGGTGAAAGATGAAATTTTCCATTCCATGAAAATATTTTTACCATTGCACTCATAAACATTCATTATTTGTATAATATAAAACAATATCTACGCCACATTGCACATATAAACATATAATACTCAAAACAGTTCAAGAAACAGCAAGGTTGCGTGAATTGAAAAACAGACAGTGGAATGGAACTTCTACTCATTACCAGGTGATTATCATGGTCAACCAATTAAATGACAATGATTTATTAAGGTGTTTTGATACATAATCTTATAGGTTCCAATATATTTAAACGCTTAAATCGAATATAGTCACATCCACTCGCGAGTTAATTGTGGTATTCTAATCTCACTTTCCCCTACAATTACATTGGATTAATAGTTTTTATAATACTATACTAAAATCTTGTAACTCACACTTACGTGTATAGCGCAAATTTACATGTAGATATGATCAAATGCGATTTACATGAAGTATTATACGCTTACCTAATTATTTAGCCTACTAGGATATTTTATCTTTACAACAATTGCATATTGTGTGAACGGGGAAATGTTTTGTGAAGTGCGAATATTTTTCTTATAGAGTTAGAGCGGGCAACAATCAACGAACACTTTGTATACTCGCAGATCGCAAGCATGTACATATCTAACGACAGTATAGACACATAGTGACATGAACATAACATAAATATATCATATATAACGTCTATGTTTGGTAACTTGGGTTTAGTTGCATGACTAATAGCGCAAACGCGCTATTAAGCTGCAGAGTCCAGTTGTCGAGCTCAAACTGGAAGTTCATGTATATTTACTAAATATTTCGGGCATGGCACTCGGTTGAACTAAAATATTTCATAGATTGAAATTTTCATTTATATATTTTGAATAAACTCTAACTAGGGCCAACTGGGCACAGAATAAGAAGGTACAGCAGAAGCGTCGCTCAAGCAAGTATTTGTCCGCGTTTTTACAAGCGATTCGTCATCAATCACGCCATCCTGGCTAGTACAACCGGCACTTTGTACCTACCAAAACCTGATAAAAACTTCCGGTTGTACTAGCCAGGATGGCGTGGGCGAGTTAAAATTTTCGTGGACGTAAAACAAGGGAACCGACTTGAGTGACGTTTTGCTGTGTCTTCTTTATTCTGTGAACTGAGCTACAGAGTTGTCGAGCCAAACTGTAACAGCAAATCCAGGCATGCACATATGCTAAGGTGATGCCATGGTAAGGCTTATGTGGGTAAATGTCAGCCTTTTGGGGGGCATCTTGAACTAACGTTGAAGGGCTTCGTGAATTCATGAAAGTTTCAAGTGTCAATATTTTACATTTATTTACAGCCAATTCATGCAGTTAAGGTTGTCTTCTGAAGGTCAAAACTCACAACCTCTATACGTACGAAAAACACGACGGGAGTGTTTATATATTATGAAATTGTTTATATATCCATGCGTGTTAGCACTATAGTTATGTATTGCAAATACACCCTTCTGGAAAGTACGTCAGGTACGTCGATATGCATTAGGCCTAACGTTCCAATCACAAAATCATAGTAAAAGATTAGTGCTTTTAATAGAATTGTCAATTTCTGAATAAAAATAATGTGATAATGTATGTTAATCAGTTAATTTAATAGTTATACTAATGGGACATACATACTTCTCTAACGACAAAAGGATGCGTCAGCGCTTCGTGAGCATATGGTCTGTCATCAATCTTATGACTGATCAGCCAGGAAACAAACTTTCGAGCACTACGATAATCAAGTTTCTTCAAGTTCACTGGATTACCATTCAAAATATTTTTCATTCGATCAAGAGAAGAACCAAAAGGATGTTCTCCTTTGGTTAAAAGGAAGTAAGCGATCATACCTGCAACCTGCACATCAGATTTCTTTTTGAAATGACTCTTTCCTCCACATTTTATTGCTTTAATTACTTCCGCAGGCATCCAACCACCAGTTCCTTTAGCATCAGTTTCAACTGTAGTTTCATCTTCATTTAGAACGCGACTGATTCCAAAGTCCGCCAATCTCATGTGACCTTGGCTATCAACCAGGATATTTGTGGGCTTCAGGTCTCTATGCAAAATTCCTTCCTCATGAAGAAATTTAAGTCCAGTTAATACTTCTTTAATTATTCTTGGACCATACTTTCGTAAGTATTCAGTCGTTTGTGAATGAACATGTTCGTTCAAGGTTTCTTCACAGAGATCAACAATAAGGTACGTGAAGATGTCATCGTGGAGACAATGTCGATAGCTTACTATATATGGTGACTTGGTTGTGTCAATAAGACTCAAGATTTCCCTCTCGTTCTCTGCTGTATCCTCACCAGATTGTGTCAATATTCTCTTCACAGCGACTTCACTGCCATCCTTCATGACACCAACATAGACACACGTGGCACTGGAACCTTTTCCAATTTTAAATTCACTGTTTGCTACAAAAGCGTGTATTGGCACTTCCATCTATGGTAAAAGAATATGTAAACGCGATAAATTTATCAAGAAAGCCAACAAAACAAACAAAAAACAAGCAAACAAGCAAACAAGCGAGCAAGCAAGCAAGCAAGCAAACAAACAAACAAACAAACAAACAAACAAACAAACAAACAAACAAACAAACAAACAAACAAACAAACAAACAAACAAAAATGATCTGGAGAAGGTCAGATATAGTTTTGTAGCGTAACACGCTTTAAGAGAGCTGTGAAGGTGAACGAGCACAGGTCAATAAAATACATGGCGAGAAAGAAGTATAAAGTGTAAAGCCGAGATTAATAATCAAGAGTGCCGTATAATGAAAACCGCATAAGCCCGAGCGTAAATATTAAACTTCGATACTACTGTATTGACTACGCATTTGCTCCGTTATATACAAATACCTCGGTTTCATATTTTAGACATGTTACCGTGAATTAATACACCACAACCGTTATTAAAGTAGTTAATGATGTGGAACACATGCTAAGAAATCCGAATACACGTTTATTACCTTGTTCAATTGGTTGCATTTCATTGTTTTCAACATCTGAATTTTGTCGCGATGTTTTACAGATTTTTTTAATTGGATTTTGAGAATATGTGTAATCTCGTGATGACCATGGTAACTACTCCATGCAATAAGACTAGTTTGTCTTCCTTCAACAAGTACCTCTTCAGCTTTCGTTACATCTATGCCCTTTTGTATAAGAAGCTCTACCAAATGAACAGAATTTCCGAAGACAGCCATCTTTAAAATGTCATTACCAAGACCATTTACGTCGGTTGTACTTTTATCTTGAGTTTCGTTACCACTATGAGTAAAAGTATCGCTATTAGTTGACATGCCGTGTTCACTTTTGCAAGTGACATCAGCACCATGTGCAACTAAACACTTGACAATGTCTAGTGAGTCAGTATCTACAGCACTCTGCAGAACTGTTTCGCCATAATTATCTTTACAGTTGACCTCAGCACTACAATATTCAACTAAATATTTCACATTCTCTAACGATTCAACTTGGACAGCAGTATGAAGAACTGATCTACCTTGTGCATCTTTACAATTAGCATCAGCGCCATGTTCAACTAAATACATGACAATGCCTAGTGAATGATAAGCGACACCCAGGTGAAGAACTGTTCTGCCATCTTTATTTTTACAATTGACATCAGCACCATGCTCAACTAAATACTTCACCATGTCTGGTGAACAATGAGCTACCGCACCAAAAAGAACTGTTTCGCCATCTTTATCTTTGCAATTAACCACAGCACCACAGTCTTCAACTAAATATTTGACATTGTCTAATGATTCAGCTCGCACAGCAGTATGAAGAACTGATCTATCTTCTGCATCTTTACAATTACCATCCGCACCATGTTCAACTAAATACATGATGATGCCTGGTAAACAAGACTCTACAGCATAATGAAGAACTGTTTTGCCATTTTTATCTTTGCAACTGACATCAGCATCGTGTTCAACTAAATATTTGACGACATTTGGTGAACGATATTGTAGAGCAAAGTGAAGAGCTGTTTTGTCGTCATTATCTTTACAATTGATATCAACACCACGCTCAACCAAATACTCCACGACGTGGAGTCCATGGGACACTACAACGCTGTGAAGAACTGTTTTGCCGCGGTCTTTATCTTTACAATTAACATCGGCACCATGTTCAACCAAATACTCGATGATGTCGAGTGCATATACCTGTGCAGCATTGAATAGAGCTGTTCTGCCGTCTTTGTCTTTACAATTTACATCAGCACCATGTTCAACTAAATACTGGACGATCTCGAGTGTCTGAAAATCTGCAGCATTATGAAGAACTGTTTTGCCACGATTATCTTGACAGTTTACTACAGCGCCATGTTCAATCAAATATTTTGTGAATTTCACATATTGAGAACTTACAGCGAAGTGAAGAAGAGTTTCACCAAATTCATTTACACTATTTATGTCAGCTCCTTTTTCTACTAAATCCTTGAGAATCTTTATATTATACGGCACATTCACCCACCAAGTCATAATTCTTAATTACCTTCTGTTCATGTACGTATACCTATATAACATGAAATAGATGAAGATTACTTTCACGTGATATCACAATATTCTAAAATTAAATTAAAGCTACACAAGGAAGCTGAGGCGTTTACATTACACAGCCTGACACAGCGATTGTCATGCCCGGTTTAGACGCCGTCCTTTTCATGAGATTATAATAATAAAATATTTTATTACTTCTATTGTTTTCGCGCCCGCGCGCGGGAAAATTAGCACCATGCAGTACTTTCGCGCCATTTTTCTTGTTATATATGACATGTGACTCGTCCCAGTATTCGAAGCGAAAGAGCGCTAATCACTTAAGTACGGCTCATGAAAAGCACGCCTGTCTAAATCAAAATTAGAAGTTCGCCTATTTTACTCAAGTAAAATATGAACTAAAGTTCGGCTCATGAAAAGTACGGCGTCTAAACCGGGCCTCAATCTATTAAGCATAAATTTAACCCTGTTACTATTATTATGCGATTTTTCAACTCTGTTTTGAATCAATTTGAAAAGCTGAAGCAATTTTTTTCAGATTCTTTACGGAAAGCGTTTACAAGAAAATTTTTTTGGATTCATATTTTTGCAATACAAAGTTTCCCATAAACGTTTCCGCATTCGAATGTTCCCGGACATAAATTCTATCTTTGATCATTTCGTGTCGGATTCATGCTCATGCGAAACAAATCGGATATAAAAACTCCCCACCGAAAACTTTTGCAATGTGTAAACGTAATCCAAAAAATCAAAAGTGCCGTTGGGAACAAATCTAAGCAAACTAATTCAAAATGGCGCTTCAGAAGAAGTGTGGATTTTTTTCACAATTTTAGGAGCTTTATCAAGTTAAATATATCTCCAATATAAATATTTGGAAATGAACTCAGTGAGTATATCTAGGTTTAAGCTTTCAAGTAAAATAACTTTTGAAAGGAATGAGTCATGAGTAAAATTCGCAATTTGGAAATAATTTAATTAATCAGCAAGTAACCATTTGATGTTTAACAATTTGGATCACATGTGATCCATTATAGACTTTGCCATATCATATATTAGTTTCTTTGCAAATAATGATTTTATAATACCACCGTTCGATTAGACCGATAGCGATGGTTTTTGTCAATATCAACATTCGAGAGAATTATGGCCTTTGAAAAACAAATTTCATTAAATTACTCAATTTGCTCGCCGAAAATAGCATCAGCCCCATAGGACGCGTATCTACTTCCTTTGCAATAGTCATGTTTGAATCGCTATACAAAACACTATTAGAGTGTTATTTTGACAGAAGGGCTATTGCTTATTTGCTTTATAGAAGGGCTATAGCTTATTTGCCATTACCACACCTTACTTGAATTTATAGCCAATCAAAATGCACCGGAAGTAAAAATAATCGAAAGGCCATGGGAATTCAAGTTAGCAAGACTAGCAACTTTGTTCGACCAAAATATCGAGCTTCGAAATTCCAATTTACATTTTTCCTAATAAATATAAACCGTTGTGATTAAAATAATTATGCTTGTGGATAAACAAGTGCTGAAGAAAATTCATAACATTGATATATAAGAGTTGTACAGTATATAATTATAATAGTTGACAACAAAACTTCAATATTCAGTTTCCAAAAAGTGTTGAAATTTATCGCAAATTAGAACTGAAAGAAGCTGTAAGAAGAACGGTATTAAAGATAAAATGCATCTTCCTCCTGTAGTTACATATATATCTGAACGTTTGAACTTCTATTCCAAGTAAAAAATATAACGCAATTACCGTTAGTGTGCATATATCAGAGTGTCCTGAGGGGGGGTCCCAATCCCATTTCCCACCTGAAATTTTGGCAAAATCCCAGTCCCAGTTGGATTTTTATTAGAAATCCCAGTCCGAGTTATTGAAATCC